AGAACTGAACCGCATAATCGAGGTGCAGCCTGACTAGTGCAAGATATATTTGCAATAAGACCTCTGCACTCTTATTACTTACACTTGTAGATATAAAACCTAATACTCTGTTTGCCTTATTTCAAACATTAACGCACTGTTTTCTAGGCCGTAAGTCCGGGCTTACAAGTACCCCTAAGTCTCTTTCACAAGTCGACTTCCCTAGGTTGATGTTGTTAAGGCTGTATACATTGACAATATTTGTTCTTCCAATATTAAGTACACTGCACTTGCTGGTGTTGAATTTCATTTGCCATTTTTCTGACCACTCCTGCAGTTTATTTAAATCCTCCTGTAGTGCATTTGCATCCTGCCCTGAATTAATCTGCCGCCCTATTTTTGTGTCATCCGCAAACTTGCTTATGTCACTGCTGATCCCAGTACCTAGATCGTCTATGTAGATTATGAACAAAAGTGGGCCCAGTACTACTGACCCCTGGGGAACCCCACTAGTTACACAGCCCCACTCAGATTTAACACCATCTACGCTGACCCTCTGTGTTCTATCGGTGAGCCATGATTTTATCCAATTTAAGGCTTTCCCCTCGATACCATGAGGCTTAACTTTTCTTAGAAGCCTCTGATGCGGTACTCTGTCAAACGCTTTACTAAAGTCTAAGTAAATAACATCATAATTTTCGTCGTTATCTACTACCTTGAAGACTTTACTAAAAAACGTCAGCAGATTTGTTAGACAAAATTTTCCCTTTGTAAACCCATGTTGAGAGTCGTAGATTAATTTGCTTTTCTCTAAATGCAACCGCACAGTGCTGAACTTCCAGTCCCAAATCCACCGACTGAACAAGAATTGAGTGATTCCGATTCTAACTCTACCTCAATGGAAAACGACTACCAGGATGACTCTGAAAATACCAGGCCTAAACTATTTACTCAAGAAGCGCTTCATGATCTCATCAGGGACCTAAACTTGTCAAAAGAAAAGGCTGAAGTTTTGGGATCCAGACTAAAGCAGCGTAACCTGCTAGAAGATGGAGTGCATATCACTACAGCGCGTTACCGACATAGACAGCTGTCTGCATTTTCCAAGATGGCAAACAACCTTTGTTATTGCGAGGACGCAGTATCTCTCATGCAACAACTCTGCAAGTCTGAAACATACAAGACAGAGGATTGGAGGCTGTTTATAGACTCAGGAAAAGACTCTCTGAAAGCTGTTCTTTTACACAATGGCAATCAGCTTCCATCTGTCCCAATAGCACACGCAACAAAAATGACTGAGAGCTATGAAACAATGAAAATTCTGTTGGCCGCTATAGAGTATGAGAAACACCAGTGGAAGATATGTGGCGATCTCAAAGTCATCAGTTTACTACTGGGCCTTCAGAGTGGCTACACAAAGCACATGTGCTTTTTGTGCTTGTGGAACAGCAGAGCTGATGCAGAGCACTATGTGAGAAAGGATTGGCCGACAAGACCAAGAGATGCGCCTGGAAGGTTTAACTGTGCTCACAATCCGCTTGTAGATCCAGAAAAGATATTTTTGCCTCCACTGCATCAAAAGCTCGGTTTGGCTAAAAATTTCATCAAAGCTATGGATCAATTCGGTGCTGGGACTCTATACTTATCTCAGAAACTAGGTGGTGTGGTTTCCGAAGCCAAGTTGAAAGCAGGTGTCTTGAATGGACCACAAATTCGTATACTAGTTAATGATAGCGAATTCACCAAAACATTGAACCCACTGGAGAAAAAAGCATGGGAATCATTTGTCAATGTGTCAAAGAATTTTCTTGGAAACTATCGTGCTGACAACTACAAAGAAATCGTAACAACCATGCTTCAGAATTATCATGCATTGGGAGCAAGGATGTCCTTGAAATTGCATTTTTTCCACTCTCATGTTGAATTTTTCCCAGGTAACCTTGGAGACGTTAGTGATGAACACGGCAAAAGATTTCATCAAGATATCGCCATAATGGAGAGCAGATATCAGGGACAATTCAGTCCTAACATGATGGGCGACTATTGCTGGACACTGCAACGAGAAGAGAGCAAGCTGTACAAGAGAAAGAGTAAAGTTCAGAAGCACTTTTAGAACTTCATATTTTGTCATTATAAAGGATTTGAACTTATGTTTTTTGGTACAATTTTTTATGAGCTTATCTGTGATAGGTTTAAAATTGTATCTTGCATGACGCGATAATGTTACTATATTTACTATTTTTTTATTCTTTAAGAAAGTAGGTCTGATGGTAGAATGAAACATCCAATTAATATTCATTAATATGAAATTAGTCATGAAAGCACAGTCACATGAGATAATCTCATCTTTTGCACGACACGTGATGGAATATTAAATATTTGTACCTATTGATTTTTTTATAAAACCTGGTCTGATAGAACAAAACAAATATCAGAGTCGAATTCAGCAATATGAAATTAGTTGTGTGAGCATGATCTCATATGTGAACCATTTTGGCTGTTGACCAGTGATCTGCCAATGTGTAGGTAGTGTTGGTGTGTTGAGAGAAGTGTACCTTTTTGGAGTTAGGGGCGCATGGTCAGCCCCCCCTCCCTCATGTGTGGCTAATTATGTCAGCCCCCCCCCCTTCCTCAATCAAGCATGGCTAATTGTGATAAGGAGTTGAATTTGATACCATAATGGTGCTTAATAAATTCTCTACCAAACATTTCCAATAAGATGTCCTTTAACAAAATATTTCTACTCTATATGATATAGTGATGGGAATTCCATTGTCTTATAAAAAAATTTAAGAAATGTTTGGTAAAATAAATATATTTAAAACAACAAAAGCTGTACATGATACAGGCGTGAACACAGCTGTTACTTTATCCTCTTCACCACTGATTGGCTCGTTAAACACTTGGGCGATCGTCACGTCACTGTTACACACTTCACTCAATTGACCGTACTGTAATACATAACTAATCAAGTCTTAATACTTGGGATGAAGGTTGGGTGGGAGATTATTGGGTCATGCTACTAACCTGACCTGATGCAATGTCAGGTCACTCAGTGTTGGGTGAGGGATTAGTGGGTCTTATGACCTGAAGATGTCTTGAATGACATTATTTTATACCTATGAGGTATATACACAGTATTATACTGTATTGTATATGAAGGGCACATGTATTAATAAGCACAGATTATTACAGTAATGTACCTTAACTAATTAACCCTTTCGCTGCGATTCACGCTTTTACAATTTTATTCTGGTTACCGCCAGACAATTTTATTCAGCTTAAGGTAACCTCCCTATGGCAAAAGGGTTAACAAAAAACAAATAAACAATATTGTATCATGACTGAGTCAGTACTTTAGACAAACAGTGAGGCGACCCTTTGGGGGAGGGGGGTGGCAGGGTCACCTTTAGCCCCCAATGGACCCTTCTCCCTAGTTCACAGCAAATGTTATAATCTTTACTGTATTTGTGTTAAAGAGATGAATTTGATACCATAATGATCCTCTATGAGACATATCCTATATGATATCCTTAAATGAAAAGCTGAATTGGAAGGTAAAAAGTATTTTACTCTATGTACATTCAATTCCATAATATCCCAGCCAGTTTTCCATGAAAAAGCCATAATTTTGAGCAACATATTATTGTACAGTACTCATTTTGTACTAAATGTACTATGCTAAGGGCACACACACACACACACACGGGAATTAAGACAACAAGCATCCAGTAAGGGTCTTGTTGTGTGACTACATGGAGGTGAATTAAAAGATCAGCTGTTGAGGAGCTCATCCCTTGGCAACACTGGTGCATGTTACCACTCCTTTCCACTCCATCTCTCGTCACCCACACCTTTCTGCTTTCTCACTCTATATTTTAAAATATTGTGTAATGTAATGTTGAAGGGATACAACTTTGTTCATTTACACTTATACTTATCACAATCTCCCTAAAAATACTTTAGCTTTCGTGTTTATTCAAGACATCTTCAGGTCAAGAGACCCATTAATCCCCCACCCAAGAAAGGATGACCTGACATTCCATCAAACGTCAGTAATATGAGACCACTAATCCCCCACCCTACCTCCACCTGACATTGAGTCAGGCCAGGTCAGATCCCCCAACAAAATACTTTAACTTTCATCTTTGTTCAAGACATTTTCAGAAAATTCTCTCGATTTTCAACCTTGGATAATTTGTTCCTAAAGCTGGAAATTTTTGTAAAATTCGGGCTTTGGGAATGATTTTCCGAGCAAATTTCAATTCCGGCTATAGGAGATTTCCGGGTTTGAGGGATTCCAGCTAACGGCGATATTACTGTATGACAATCTATTTCATTAAGGGGTTCGCAACTGACTAGTGGTTCTCACACCTAATGTACTCTCCATCCAGAATATCACTGGCCTTTATGAGGGATGCAAAAGAGTGAGAGGAAATTATAAAAGAGTCAGTGGGGAAGGACTGGTGACAAAGTCTGGAGAGACATTACAACAGAGAACTGAAGAAAGAGGAAAGTGAAGTTATTTTGTGAATACCTGTACAGTATGTCACAACTGAAAAGTATACAGTCCCACAATATGCCATTACTCTGTATTTCCCACATCCTGTCTTACTTAATATGCACTGGGTTCTTTGAAAGTGTTGTCCTTAAATTTTCTCAGATGTAAACTAAATCAAAATATCCTGTTAACAAATATTTTTTCTTACAAATCTACCCCATGTATTTATGACTAAAGTTATTTTTATGATACAAAAATTTAATTCATGCTGATGTATAAAAGATTTCTGTTTCTCACACCAAAACATATGAGAAATTTGTTTCAATAATGCACCATAATGTGGAAAGAAATTTCATTTTCTAAACTTTTTCATGGATCCTCCTTGAAGAGCTCTGCATACCTGGAACACCCACTCTAACCTTACACTTAACAATGCAGCAAGATTTATTCTAAATGCACCACATTGTTCTACTCAATAAGGAGTCAAGACCAACAAATGTTAAAACAAATTGTCACTTACCAACAACAATCATGAAGATGAAGACATACTTCTTCCATGTGTATGACTTTCTTCCTAAGATAACTCCCAGGATCATCACTGGAATGGGCTTACAAGATTTTCCTACAACCTGGAATGGCAAATTTGATTTTCTTATTATCTGTAGAACTGTGCATGTCCAAACCTCTTCAATTTCAATACAGAAAAGTTTTCCCTGTATAGATTAAACAATTTTCTGAAGAAAATTTGTGCCACAATCCACCATTACATACAACTAATACTGTACACTACAGCATGCCCTGACAATTAGCAGATTTTTAACTCACGGACCTCGAATATTCACAGATGACACCCTGGATGTACCCAAGAATGTCTAAGGGTAGTTTTAAAGTTGTTGGCATTTTCGCTGCCTGTATAGGGAGCCATTCGTTCTAGAGACAGTAATTTCTTTTACCTGTATGTATATATATATATATATATATATATATATATATATATATATATATATATATATATATATATATATATATATATATATATATATATATATATATATATATATATATATATATATATATATATATATATATATATATATATATATATATATATATATATATATATATATATATATATATATATATATATATATATATATATATATTATATATATATATATATATACGTGTATGAGTTCTTAAGACCAAATTTTTGGGCAAAAAGTTGGGGGTCGACCTCTATACGGGTAATAGTTTCGTTAGGTTGAAAAAAATTTACCAGTAACTACCAGTAAACAATGGAAACGATGCACCAACGCACCACCCGCTGTGAGTGTCGGTACAGTTGCCAGGGCAGATCTCTTGCGTCATCATAGCAAGCCCAAAGTAGCCAAATGCATGGTATGGTATGCACAGGAGTATGTAAAACATAAAGTATTCATTTTTAAAAGTGTATTTATAGATACATAAATTTTTGTTAATTAAATTTGAAACATCAATATGATGTGAGTCAGGTCATCTACACACAGTTGCCAGTTTCAAAATTTTCCTTTTAAAATTTTAAGTTACCGAGTATTTCTTTTCCCAAATCATTTTACAATACTGTAGGTAAAACAGTATACTATTGTGCAAACCCCACAGAAAAAAAATTAACAAATGGAGACACCAAAAATGTAAAAAAAAAAAATGCTGTCTGACTTGCAACACTGTTGGTAGGGTCAGGTGGTTCTAACGGTACCTGCCAGGACCCGGTAATCAAATTTATAACAATATCTAACCTCAATTACTGTAGTTTATCTGATGTAGGCAATATGAAGTAAAAAATACCAGTTAAAGTGAGAAATTGGAAGAGAATAAACAAGAAAGATGTTGGGCTATTTTTGGTAGGGCTGAGGGAGAGAGTACCAGCTGTTTGGTCTTTTTTGGCGGGAGAGTCACGCAAATATCCGTACTAGTATTTGTTTGGTGTCTTCTGTATTTTTAAAAATGAATACTTCTAAATTAAAAGTACCGTAACATTGTATTATATAAAAACTTGTCATATTTCTGGAAAATAAGAAGCAAGAAAATAAGAATACACAGGTAAACACAATTTCAACGTACGCTAAAATTAAAAGCTGCTTAAGAAGGGCCGATGCAAACACAAAGCCTCCACGACCAGGGCTCTGCCGTATCAGCTAGACGGTACACGTGTTTTTCGAATCGTTTTCAGTTAAAAAACTTTTACATCACAAGTGAATTAGGATAGAATATTATTGTAATATAACAGTTTTTAACTGAAAACCATTCAAAAGGCGATTACGGTAACATCTTGTGAACGAAAGAAAGCGAGTCATTGTTTTTGTCACGATTTTATCCCACTTTCCACTATAATACGTACGTCATTTCAGCAAAAATATTACATTTCCATATTCTCAGAAATAAATAGTAGTTTTGCTGAAACGTGATGTATTTCAATGTAAATTAGGATAAACTACATGAAAACAAAAGACTTTACCTAACCTTCCGATGTTCAAGATATGTTACTCGTATTTTTAATAGTTTTCGGTTAAAATACTGTTATATTAGTGATATTCTATTCATACTGTGGTTGATATAATACCTTCACGGAAATGTAATATTTTTTGCTGAATTGACATACGTATTACAGTGGAAAGTGGGATAAAATTGTGATGAAAACAATGACTTGCGCTTTCTTTCGTTCAAAAGATGTTACCGTAATCACTTTTCGAATGGTTTAGTTAAAAAACTGTTGTATTGTATTACAATAATATCCTAATTGACTTGAATAAATATTACGATACCATATTTCTGAATATTTTCATTAAAATCCATCAAAATCATTTTCCTTGTCATCGTCTGCAGCACCAAACAGCTTCTCCCAGTCCTCTCCTTGAACAGGGCTAGAGGGAACGTGTTTTTCGAATCGTTTTCAGTTAAAAAACTATTACATCACACGTATATTTTACCTAAACTGTGCCTGAATGAATATATTCTCGGAAATAAATAGTAGTTTTGCTGAAACGTGATGTATTTCAATGTAAAATAGGATAAAATACATGCGAAAACAAAAGACTTCACCTAAGCTTCCGATGTTCTTGAGATGTTATTCGTTTTTTTAATAGTTTTCGGTTAAAATTCTGTTATATTACAATGATATTCTATTCATACTGTGCTTGATATACTACATTCACGGAAATGTAATATTTTTTCCTGAAATTACGTACGTATTACAGTGGAAAGTGGGATAAAATCGTGACGAAAACAATGACTCGCTTTCTTTCGTTCAAAAGATGTTACCGTAATCACTTTTCGAATGGTTTAGTTAAAAAACTGTTGTATTACAATAATATTCCCTCCTAATTGACTTGAATAAATACTTGAATGGAAATATACAATATTTTTGTTGAAACTACCTGCGTTTCAGTGTAAAGTGTCGTAATAATAAATGGTAAACAAGTTTATAGGACGTAGAGTTTTTCTGAAGGTTTTGTTGTTCCATTACCCTCAAAATCTTGGGTCGACCTATAAACGAGGAATATCATAAATTAACGATTTCTTGGTCATAAAATCGGGGTCGACCTATATACGAAGGGGGGTTATAGACGAGTATATACGGTATATATATATATATATATATATATATATATATATATATATATATATATATATATATATATATATATATATATATATATATATATATATATATATATACAGTGGGGTATGCTATAACGAACGGATCCTACTACGAATATTCCTATAACGAACGGTTTTACCTATAAAATTGAGAATGCTATAACGAACGAAACTCCTACAACGAACATTATTTAATTTTTTTTTTCTAATTTATTGTTTTTTTATTACAAATATTAATGATATTCTTTATTTCAGGGGTTTAGATGCATATTTATGCACTTTTTTACAATTTTTACAATTTTATATTATATTTTTCAGTGTTAAGTGGTTGTATTTGGGGGCCTGGAACGGATTAATCCTATAACGAACGAATGCTATAACGAACAAGGTTCTAGAACCAATTAGATTCGTTATAGCATACCCCACTGTATATATATACAGTATTACCCCGCTTTACACAGTTTCACTTTCCGCGTCTTCTCATTTACAGGGTGCCTTGCCACAACCGGACTTTCACTTTCCGTGGTGCATCTACTCATATACGCAGTGAAGTATAATTTTTTTTTTTTATTTACCTCATAAAATTCATACAAATTACCAGGCCAGAATATAATTTACATTGCTGGAATTCTTACAATATGATGATCATTTTGAATATAAACATCATGGATTTTGCATTAGACATACAAATTTTAGATCTAATGAAATAATTTGGTTTACACAAAGCAAATATTTTATCCTTTGTGCAGAATATATGAAGTTTACATTCAAAATATTCCCTGACCTACAAGGAATCCAGAAATGTCAATGATATTATCCTAACTTTAGTCTGAGTTATTATTTATTACTAAAAATGTAAATACCTGTATACTATTTTCTCCCAAAGCTTCTTTGGTAGGGAGGGAAGGTGGGGGGTAGGGAGGGAGGGAGGGAGGGACCGACCCAGCTAGGGCGGAGTATTTTGATTGACAGATAGTGTCCTTGAAGAATATTTCTTTGTTTATTTACTGAAGATATATGTTTTAGCTCATAAAATTCATACAAATTACCCGGCCAGAATATAATTTACATTGCTGGAATTCTTACAATATGATGATCATTTTGAATATAAACATCATGGATTTTGCATTAGACATACAAATTTTAGATCTAAAGTAATAATTTGGTTTACACAAAGTAAATATTTTATCTTTTGTGCAAAATATATGAAGTTTACATTAAAATATTCCCTGACCTGCAAGGAATCCAGAAATGTCAATTATATTATCCTAACTTTAGTCTGAGGTATTATTTATTACTAAACGTTAAAATCTAGTGTTTCACCCAATCATTTCTCAGAGAGGTAGGAGCTAGTGAGCTGGGAAGAGGGGGGGAGGGGGGATTTGAGTCCATTATTTGAATGGACATTAACCTGGCGACTGTATTTCTCTTAAATATTAATTATGTGAGCATACCATCATAAAATTTAGATGTTATTTTTACTACAACATAGGTATTGTGTCGGAAAAAGTGGAGTTTGGGGGTCGGGCCAGTCTCTATTGGAATTAATCCCATATGTTCTGTTGTTCGCTTTACGAGGTTTTCACTTTCCACGGTACCCTGTGGGTTCAATTGACCGCGTAAATCGGGGTACTACTGTGTGTGTGTATATATATATGTGTGTGTGTGTATATATATATATATATATATATATATATATATATATATATATATATATATATATATATATATATATATATATATATATATATATATATATATATATATAATATATATATATATATATATATATATATATATATATATATATATATATATATATATATATACTGATAACCACAAGGAAAGAAAAGAAAACCACGAAGTTCCCAAGCGCTAGTGTAATTCACATCTTCAGGGTGAGTACAGACTAGTCTGTACTCACCCTAATAATTACCTTTCACCCAGCACCTACAGTGATTTACTTGCATATATATATATATATATATATATATATATATATATATATATATATATATATATATATATATATATATATATATATATATATATATATATATATATAACATGGGATTAACTGAAATAGAGACTGGGCCATTGAAACTACACTTATAGGTTTTTAACACTTACATTAGTAGAAGAGATGGCTGGGCACACGGGGGATGGGGGTTGGTTCGAGGCAGGGGCAGATTATTGGCCCTCACCTGTATCAATTGTATCACTATCCACCACAGAGGCTTGCAGGGCCTCTTTGTCAAACCCCTCAAAGTCCATATCCTCACTATCACTGACTTGGGCTGGCTGTGTTGGATGGCGGGTGAAGAACTTGGTAATGTTTTGTTGACTGGGCGACCTAGTGCGCACCCTGCACGCGCCACTTCCCGCATAAACGATGGAATGTACCGCGTAACTAATAATTGCCGGTCTGGCCTGCCGTTTAAATGGCCAAACGCGTAAAGGAAATCCGCTTAAATCAAGACTATACTGTATACAATACTTACAGGTAAAAGAAATAAATTATCCTAAGGGCAAACACAAAATGAATATACATTTCTTTGAATGCAAGTAAAAAATGTACCACCCCCCTCTTCAAATTCAAGTAAAACTTTTAAAACTATATGAAAGCAAAACAAATACATTAATTATATTTCAAATTATCATTGAATTCCATTCAACTCTGAGTCTCATAAAACTTCTTGTACAGTACTGTATTTAGTAACACCTGCAGGCCAAATTACCTTTATATTAACTACAGAAATACCACTCAAGATTCATCAAACTTTAAGAGAGTAAATGGTATATAACTAATACAAAGACACTTAAGATCTTAGCTCTGTGCCTCAAACAACGTTCCACCCTCAGGTTTGAGTGTCGGTGAGCAAGGTTTCCACTTCAAACAAATTCAGGCATCTTTACCAAACCTCAAGAGTTTGCATCTCTCTGGGGATTTAACTTTTAATTTCAGTCATTCTGTCTTCCCATGGCCTTAATATTCTCAATTCTGCCCATTATCATCAATTCTCAACCATTATCCCCTCACCTTACTAAAAGTATGGGAAGTGTTTTACTTCCTTTATTCCACTTATTTCCAGTATTTCTCTCAATACTCTCACCAATCTTAGTACTTCTTCACTTGTTTATCTACCAGTTAACTTACCATTAGCCATGTCCTGTAGCACCACATCTAGAGAGCCTCTAGTCTCCTCCTGGCATCTCCTTAAAGTGTATGCTTCTGACTCAAACAATATTTATGATAATATGTAGCATATAACAACCCTTTTCTCAAACTATATTTACTATGTATCTCTTTTTAACTGCTCTAGTCCTAATTCCTAACTGACCCTAATGAATCCTCCTATCCTTCTCCCTCGACAAAATTACCATATCAAATGTGTTCTTTTGTGGGATCTGGAATGGCTGGAAAGCTTGATATAGTTCAGGCAACATTCACAATTTTGCACATTTTATTCCCATCAATAAACTGGGCCTAGGACCTGGGTTTTTACTCCTTAAGACTTGTTAAGCAGTGCATGATTCACCTGATCCTTGCATCATTTTATAAAAATACATAAATTAAAATGAACAAATTTTTGTTGCATAATGATCTGGCAACATGATTTAAGTATTGAAGGGGTAAAAATGCTTGGCCTGCATAGTTTATGTGCAATATTGTTACCAGTATTAGATAAGCATACAACCCTCATTCTTCTTTTCTTTTAGTTCTAAAAGGGTACAATGTACTGGTTCATAATTACAATGCAATCTGTTGAGCCATCAATGACAAAAACTTTTGTGGATAGACAGATAACGGATGTGCTAAGACTAGAACAGAAAGCAACTACAGTATTCCCATTCTGGTTCGAAGGATCCAGTAGGGTATAAAAATGAAAACTAGGCACTTATTTATAGATGAAAGGGACAAAAATATACCACAAACCTGGGTAGGATAGTTGATCCACTGTAAAGCCATATTGGAGGAGACCATTGCCAGCAGGTACGTCAGAGCACACGAGGCATAGTAGACGTGGCGTGTTGTATCTTCTCCCTGATGGGGACAAGCTTCCCCACTTAAAACACACAGGAGCACAGGGGGGCCATGGTTAATATTAGAAAAGGTAATTAAGTTGACATGATTTTATACAAGTTTAAAGGATTCTAAAAGTTATAATTAATTAGCATGAGCAGAGGCTATTTAATTTGGATAAGGTCAATGTTACCGGGTACATGTATCTCTCAATTAGCGTTAATTCACTTAAAGTTAATTTGGTTCATTGAAAAAAAAGGCACTCATTTAACAATGGGTAAAAAATCAGTTTAGCAATAACTTGACTCGCTGGGTAGGGAAAAAACTGGAGATGAGGTGGCCTGTCAGATGGCATGTTGCCATTATTACATGTATGAAACTGTATAAAAGTTGTGGAAAATCATTACATGTAAACTAAAATACTCTAATGTGGCTTAGAAATAAATAAAATATAATATCAAACGATAAAATAAGAAAAATGAAGAGCATGGGTGAATATGTGTGCAATAAAGGTATGTGTGGAGGCAGTGTGGGGTAACTGCATTGCCATCCTGTTGCACCCCCCCCCTGTTATGTCACAGTATACACACACACACACACATCAGTAGTCAGCTGGATGACTGTCCTACCCACAGGAAGGTTTTAGTGTGGAAGGAGCTATTTTTTGTACATAAAATATGTGCTGTTGTATTTTATGATACAGTACAGTACAGGTGCTCCTCTACTTACAAAGCAGAGTCAGGTTCCTGAGGCTTGTTTGTAGTCCTACTTGTAGATACCAAACATATTGTAAAAAATGAAAAGATTATGGATATTTAGTACAGCTATACCCTTTAATACAGCCTTAAAACTTGGCTCACTCTTCTCCTCTTAGGTAATGTTTGTTCTATCTGGAATTTTCTTCAAAATAATCCAGTCTCATCCACATTAAACACCTATTCTGGCAGGTAATCCCCCTCAGTGATGATGTTTGTTTCTCTGAAAGTTTGTAAGTTTAATGTTCTTAAGTAGAGGAGCACCTGTATGCTATTTATCAATTTTATTGTTTACCATAGCAATTTGTTTTCTTCATTTTTGATGTACATAATTTTAAATTTGTTAAAATTGGGCTCAACTTTTGCTCTCTAAATCGTTTAACTATGAACCATATCATTATATAAAAGTTTGGTGTTAATAAATCACTTAACTCTGAAACCATTTATAAGAAGCTAGTTTATCATTATTATTATTATTATCATTATTAGTAGTAGTACTACAGGTTGTACCTCTCTAGTCCGGCAACCTCGGGACCTGACCGGTGCCGGATCATGGAAATTTCCGGACCATGGAAATTCACCCTTTTCCTGGATAGATAGTGACTTGTGCATACACTTGGAAGCACTAGCACCACTTTCACTGCTTCATGGTCTCTTTGAAGACATATTGAAGGGTTAAATGTTGTACAGTAGGTTCTCAAATTTGTGATTTTAATTCAACGTTTTTTATTTGGACACAAAAAAAACACTGCAATTACAATTCTGTGGCGGAAACTGGAATTTCGGCGGTTTGAGCAGCCGCCAACGTTCAGACTTGCCAATTGTGTAAACAGCGTCATTCTCTATGTACAAAAGATTCACTATTGTTTATTACTGAATGTCTTTTTGATTGAATTAATGTTTATGTGTGCAAAATGAACAATACACTTCATTAATAATAAGTAGAATATTACACACGAGGAAAGGAAACATGTGTTTTCGTTGTTTTACAAAACCAGTGACTGACTGGTTCTACATATAAAACTGAAGAAAATAAGACCCTGGTTGTAGCTGTAGTAAAATTAATGTAAAAATTAATATGGTGGTTTTAAGTAATGTTATTTAATGTTAATAAATGGAACTGGAAGTAGCTAACCATTAATGGTGAAGAAAAAAAGTGAGATCGTATGTAAGTGCGCACATGTGAAAACATAATCATTACTCTACATGAATATGACCTTCTTTACTGTTCATATATATTTTTTAATTAATGTTTCTGAATTTAAAAAAAAATTCTACCCACCAGTGGTGTAAAGTTGAACATATAAAGACAGCCAATGTTGTTGTGTGTGTTTTTACTAGGATGACGAAGTTGCCAAGCCATTAGGTTCAACTCTAGCTAAAGCTGTAGAACATAAGAACTTTTTCTGTGTTGTTTTTAGTTTTTATTTAACTTTATCTGTGTTATTTTCGTTGGTTTATTAGGATGTTGCTTTATTACAGGTAGTAATTCGCCAAAAAAGTAGGGTAAATAAGGCCAAATTTAGCCAAACATCGAAAGTACCAGACTCAAATTAATTTTCTCCATCGGCAAACTAAAATCGTTCCGGACCACGGGAGTTTCCGGACCACAGAATGCCGGATTAGAGAGGTACAACCTGTAGTAAGGTGCCCTGAAGTTTAAACCTGTAGTTCACGCTCTGTGCTTTGCTGTTATTCCTTGCTTAGCGACAATTTTGCTTAACATTAGTTTTTCAGGAACGCGCCTCACCATTCAACAAGAGATACCTGCATAGCCTTAGGAAGGAATATGTAAAACAAATGACCTCACTGACAGTAGTTCAACATTATGCATGCCCATAATATTAAATGACTTCATTGTTAATTCATTACAGTATATCAATATCCCTTATAATGATACGGACAAACCTAAACATTTATAGTACATTACAGTGACACTTAGCTACATTAAATTTGAAACACAATAAAAATTATCCACAACATGACACCTTAATATCACAACTTGAAAAATATACTTTTCATAAAATCACAGAGTAGAATACAGAACCCTTTGCTTTCTAAAGCAATCTTAAATATTAAAATGACAGTATAGCATTGTACCAACTATACTACTTGAGAAAAGCTCACCGATTTTGGCATCATGACAAGAGATAGGATCTTAGCAAAGAATATCATTGCTAAAACCTGGCAATAACACTTGATACCCAAAATTATGCCAAGACATCTGTGTTAGTTGTTAGGACTGCAGCATGCACACTCTGCACCACACAAGTTCCTGGAAAACTAACTTCTTGTACTGTACAGTAGAAATTGTTTTAATGTTCAAGTACACCAATGAATTTTTTTTGCCATATTACTTTAATTTGCACCTTCCCATGGCTAAGCAGTAAGGATGTAAAATTATGTCATTCTTTGAAAAAGTTATACTGAACACCAATCCCTTCACCAAACATCATCTCACCCATTACTGTACTGCATTTGACATTAGCAGTACAGTATAGCACTGTAAAATATTTCTTATCAACGAAATTTGATGTGCTCATTTAAATATATTGTACACCATTCCTTTTCATGTGAAAATACTGATCTATTCCAATAGTACTACAGGTATAAACAATACTAAATACAAAGGAAAATCAAAGGCAAAGACAGAATAAACATTACTTATAGGTAGCACACTCTCTTCTCCCAAAAAAATATAGATTCAGTAACACCAGAAAAATAGTTATATACAGTATTAATAAATAAATACTGTACTGTAGAATCAGGTGAGAATAAAAAAAAAAAAAATTATATTTATTTCAACTGAAAAATTAATAGTTCCCATAAACAGTATAGTATCGATTTACAGTTTGGTTTTACGCATTTGGTCATTTACGGCACCTTGCCAGATCGACAATTTTTATTTACGGTTCATTCCATCATTTACCGGGAGTAAAACGGGCAGAGTGCGCCTAAAGTGCCCCATTCAACAAAAACATTACCAAGTTCTTCACCGCCACCCACCACAGCCAGCCCAAGTCAGTGATATGTGAGGATATGGACTTTGAGGATTTGACAAAGAGGCCCTGCAAGCCTCTGTGGTGGATAGTGATACAATTGATACAGGTGAGGCCAATAATCTGCCCTCTGCCTCGAACCAGCCATCTTTTCTACTAACGTAAGTGTTAAAAAATAATAGTATTGATATTTCTCTTAAATATTAATTGTGTGTACATCCATCATAAATTAAGATGTTATTTTTACTATACAAAGTCGTATTATTATCGGAAAAAGTGTAGTTTGGGGAATTCGGCCCAGTCTCTATTTCAATTAATCTCATTTCTGTTGTTTCGTTTCGCAGCGTTTTCTCGTCTTCTGCGGACCTCCACGGATTTAATTGACCGCGTAAATGAAGACCAAACTGTACATGTACAGTGAATGCAATACCAGAGCATACTGCACAATCATAATGTACAAACATGTGCATCTGAGGTCTGCATGCAAGTATAATAAATAAATATATATATATATATATATATATATATATATATATATATATATATATATATATATATATATATATATATATATATATATATATATATATATATATATATATATATATATATATATATATATATATATATATATATATATATATATATATATATATATATATATATATATATATATATATATATATATATGTGCTGATAACCACAAGGAAAGAAGAAAACACGAAGTTCCCAAAGCTTTCATGTAATTCACATCTTCAGGGGTGATTACAGACTAAAGAGAAGTACAAAACAAGGTGTATATATACAAAGGAGGGTGAGACCAGGTCCACAATGGTCAGGTATTAGGTAATGACCCTACTCTAATCTTTAAATACCACCTTCAGCAGTCTGGTTTAGATATGTTGATGATGTATTATGTCTCTGGCCATGTAATGAGGACCTAAAAGCTTTCCTGCCACAACTTAACAACAGCCCCTCGATCAAATTCACTGTGGAATTAGAGCAAGACTGTAAATTGCCATTCCTAGACTGTCTGATACACAGAATAGGTAACACTTTTAAGTTCAGTATTTATAGAAAACCAACTAATGTGTGTTCATACATTCATTATTATTCTGCCCACCATAATAGAGTCAAACAGTCAGTATTTTCAACAATGTTTTTACGTGCTTTGAGAATTGGCTCAAACCTTATATACCCTAGATCTTTCATAGACAAATGCCTAAACATTACTAAGAAAACTTTTTATAGAACTGATCCCAAGCCCACCCATGACCATAAGAATGTCTTGATATTACCATTTCACAAAAATTTCTCACATTCCTTTACAACTAAAATCATGGAACGTCAATGTAGCATTTAAAAACTCATGCACTGTTAAACAAATGTTAATTAAGAACTCCCCCAACAACACAATTAGTTTGCATTTGGTTAAAGCGACTCTCTGGAATGAATTGTGTTTGTTAACCGAGGGACCACTGTATATACATACTGTACAGTAGTTAAAACAACTATCTATGCAGGTGGGGTTGATGTGCTCCAAAATTTTACGTGTGACTAGTGACAGCCCTCATATACCAAAATTTATCGTCCAAGGTCTCATATTGTTTCCCACAAAGTATGCACAGATAGTTGTTTTAGCTACTGTCCATATATATATACAGGGGGGTATATTAAGAATGCAAAGGGGCCTCACACCCCTCTCGGGACAGCTGTGAGCATATTACTGTATTCATTTTGTAATCAAATGTACAATGCAAAAGTACTAAAAATTTTATCACTTGTGCAAACTATGATGCGTTAAAACTCAAATTAATAACTATCTTGCAAATAGTCCAGCAATGCAAGTTATATTCTCCTAAACCAATTCTGACATTTTATAAGAAAACTTTTAGCCTGAAACAACGTTCACCATCCCCATCTACCTCCCCTGCTGGCTGGAAGGATGGGAAGAGGGAGGTGGGGTGTTGACAGCCAGGAGGGGAGATTTTTGCATACTACGTAGTTGTCAGGGACTAAAGAATTATGAAAAGCAGAGGGTTTAATTTTTTGCTTATAAAATGTCACTGACTTGACTTAGGAGAATATAACTTACATTGCTGGAATTCTTGCAAGATAGCAATTAATTTGAGTATAAACATCCATAGTTTGCACATAAACATAATAATTTTAATAATTAACTTGGTACATTTAAGTACAGGCTGTGATAATTTATGTGGTTGCAGTTGCGGCTTTTGTGACATCACTAATGTATAATTAGTCTCCATATGCTCTGGTTTATTCATTGATCAGTTGTCTAAGTGCAATAGTAGCCCTGTCAAGCCAGATCAATTAATTTTAAAATACTAGAAATTATAATGTAAAATGTTATAAGACAATGGTTTAGTAGAACTGTTAATATGTGTGCTGTGTAGGCATGTCACCTCACCACCTGACTCCTGAACAAACTCTTCATCAACTTCTACAATGTGCTTGATGACGCACACACACAATGATGCCCTAAGAGAAACCCCTGCTCGCTGGAAATATGTCGACGACTCCACCATTGGGATCAGCGTCAACAATTCTGCTCCCAACTATACCGCCCTTCAGGATTTATTGAAGTCTCCAAAACTGGGCCACCAACAACCATGTCACCATCAACCATACCAAGACCATGGTTATGCACATCAACTTTCCTCCCGACAATTGTCCCACCTCCTTCCATTACCGAGGAGCCGAACACACTCCAGGTTGTAGATTCCACGAAGCCTGGCGCCACCATAGACAACAAACTAAATTGGAAACCACACGCCAGTGAAGTTGCACAACCTCCAGTCGCCCACCTCCTCCGCTCACTGGTTCCTCGGAGTTCCTGCACACGAGCTCCTCAGTGTTTACACAATATTCATACTTCCCAAGCTCACCTATGCCTCCCCACCTGGTCTTCCTCCCTAAATGCCAACGAAACACTCTAGAAAAAGGCAAAAGGAGGATGCAAGATTATCTTCCCTTCCTACTCCACATATCAAGAAGCGCCAACACACTGACCCTTTCACTCACTCATCACCACCACGACCATCTGCAAATTTGGTAAGAACTTTCTACACCATCCTCGATAATCCTGCCCTACTACCACCTGAGATCCCTAGTCCGAGAATTGCTGTTCGACACCACAAATCAAGATCCAGCCCATGCACTTAACTGATCACTATAAGAACAGCCCAGTCCCAACCATTAAAAATTATCAATAACTTGTAATAAACCAGTGTATTCACTCCCAGTAAACACTTCCTTGCACTGTCACTATGTTGAAATGCCCTGTAGTTTGAGCTTTTCCCCATCTAGTTATTATATGTCTTATTTGTGTCACTTATGTTACTTGTATATTATTTGTAATTCAAACCCATTCCCCAAATATGTAACTGTATATTTTCAGCCTTCTACAAGCCTTTTAATAAACCATATATTATTATTAAGACAAGCATCCAGTGAGTGTCTGTTTAGTCATGCTGGCTTATTATTTAAATTATTACACCCTGGACGACAAGCCTAGTAACAAGGCCATGCAGTCAGACACTAATACGATATATTCATGTCTCGCAGAACACACGATGACTTGTGATATGGAGACAATATTGATATGATTTAAGGACCATGGGAGTTAGCACCCACCAAAGTGTGGGTAGCGTACAAGAATTAAAATACCATAGTGGCATACAGTGGTTTGTGACTCATCCTGTGGTAGGAGGTCCCTGACAGTGGGACAGTCAAGGCAATACAGTAGTGTTGATGGGTGTTAACATTGGGACAGTTACAGAGTTTACAGGAAGAGAAGTGTGGGTCATACCCCCACCTCAGATACTTGTCAATTAGGTCTGTATCCTATCCTAATGCAAGACAACATTATGTCTGCGGACCTTAAGTCCAAGTCAACAATACTTGTGTGGACAAGGGAGAAAGTGATCATTGTGTTGGATGGATATATTTTCAGCCCATTCATTATGACCTCTTTCACTAGGTCATGCTAGGATTATATTTAGGCTTAAAAGATCCTGACTGGACAGCCTTAATTATTAAAATGTTATTGATTAATCTCAATAGAAAAATTTGCAAATAAACATGTGTAATGTTGTGTGTTTTATATTTTATCTTTAGTCAACTTTTTTTTTTTACAATTTACTGTAGATTAAATTTAATATTTGAGAAAATAATTTTGTTGTTACTTTTTACTTTCAGTTCTTGAGTACTTTATGAATGAGATACTTTTTTTTCCTTCCACTTGAGTACATTGATCTTTGGATACTTTTACTTCTACTTTAGAAACATTTTGTCAATGTAACAATACTTTTACTTAAGTAACAGAGTCCGCACTTTTTACAACTCAGTTTGCTGGTGATTTCATCATGGCTCAGTTTAACATTTGCTGTGCAGTCAGCAAATGGTGTAATTTATCCACATCTCCTTCACCCCTGCCTGGCTATCTTTTTCTAGTGCCTCGTGGATCTGGGAAAAACTGCAACCTAGGTAATATGACTTGAAAACAGCAATTATTCCTTGGTCATAAGGCTGAATAAGATTTTTTTTTCATGGTAATCCATGATTTTCAGAGACACAAGTTTTAAAACTGCAAGCTTAAAGGGAATACTAGGTACATGCAGTGATAAATGTCCATCTTTATCCATCAATAAATCAGATATCTGATACTATACTGTACAGTACAGGTCTGTTAATGGTTAACCATACACAACTGAAAACAACAATTATTTAAAAGCAATGCACACAAAGAACAACTTATCTAATACTCACTTATTTTGGCATATATAGCATTTACAACGCATTGGAGAAAAACAAGTGCCAACGAATATGTAAATTTTTCTTTATCCTCCCCATACCGAGTAAGTACTGAAAAGAAAAAAAATTATCAAGAGGACAATCCAGGAGCAATGTAAAAAAGATGGAAATACTGTGTGCATGTATGCACAGTGTGTATGCATGTACAGTGCAGATATACGAGTACAGTAAACCCTTGATAATTCGGCAGGTATGGAGGGCCTTGCTTAATTATCCCAAATTCCGACTTATCGAGGCAACCACCATACCCAACAGAGAAACAGTAATAAAAAATTATCAGCTTATATATGAGCACGATACATGTACTGTAATTACTAATTTAAAAGAAATAACACTTACCAGCACTGCAGGTGAAAAATGAAGCATTGTTCTAGGTGACACAGTGCCATGGTAGGGTAGGTGACACAATGGCATGATAGGTGATGCAGGGGAATGGTAGGTGATGCAGGGGAACAGAAGGTGACACAGGTGAATGGTAGGTGACGTGGGAATGGTAGGTAACTCAGGGGAATGGTAAGTGATGGATGGAAAATGCTACATAAACAGTAAACAGGGCAGCAATTATGTATACTACTGTAATTTGGTCACGTGTACAAAATCAAGAATAAAATTTAACAAAAACATTCGTTTCTCTAAGTATAATTCAAGTCTATACGTAAATCAACGCTTAACTTCTATCACTATGGATATTATAGTCCACCCTAGTAAACCCGTTTCTTTTATTACAGAGCAAAAGAGGAAATATTAAAATACTACTCTAATGTAGTTTAGAAATAGAGAAAACATAATATAAAACTATAAAATAAGAAAAATTAAGAGAATAGGTACGTAGGTGTGGGGGAGGGGACATATGTGAAGGCTACTTGGTGAGCTGTACTGCTTGAATGACTAACCCGCCTCCCTCCCATATGTGACGTCACGGCACACACACGACTCAAGTCAGCAAGTTGACCGCCTGGCTGAACTGTGGCATCACTTAGTTGATGGTTTGAGTGTGGAAGGAGCTATTTTTTTTTACATAAAATCTGTGCTATTGTATTTTATGTTATGCTGTACAGTGGTACCTCGGTTAACGAACGCCTCGGTTAACAAAATTTTGGTTAACATATTACCTCCCATAAGAATCTTCGATTAGGTTAACGAAAAAAATTTTATTTACAAAATCCTTACGAAAATCACGTTTTGTTTTGAGCATCAGCTGATGAGCTAAGGGGGTACTCAGCCAATTCAGTAATCTCTTCTATGTTTACATTCGTTTCCAATGGAGTAAATATCAAGAAAATTGTGCTCTTTAATATTTGTGCATTTTTTTATACACTACGTATTAAAATTATTGGTCATTCTAATATTTAGCCATCCAAGCTGTCTACATAAAGTTTTTCAACTATTATTTTTGGCTCGATATATGTAACTTTATTCATTTATTGAAACTCATTTACATGCATTGCATTGGAGAAAATATTCTAAAACGGATTAGGGCGTGGTTACACAACAGGAAACAGCGAGTGAGCATTAACGGCACTAAATCCCACTGGAGCAACGTCACTAGTGGAGTTCCCCAAGGCTCAGTACTCGGACCATTATTATTCATTATATACATAAATGACATAGATATTGGGGTAGACAGCAACATAAGTAAATTTGCTGATGACACTAAAATAGTGTAATTAAATCTGATGAAGACTCTGCAAAACTACAGGAAGACTTAAACAAATTTTTTGAATGGTCTAAAAAATGGCAGATGAAATTTAATGTGGACAAATGTAAAGTACAGGAAGACTTAAACAAATTTTTTGAATGGTCTAAAAAATGGCAGATGAAATTTAATGTGGACAAATGTAAAGTACTTAGTATAGGAGATGTAAACAGAGAAACCAGATATCAGATGAACAACGATGTTATTGAGAAATCCGAATTTAAGAAAGATTTAGGAGTAATGATAAGTAGTTATCTTAAACCTAGTAAACAATGTGTATTTGTTAGAAACAAGGCAAATAAAGTACTTGGGTTCATACAAAGGAGTGTTAGTTACAAGACTAGCAAGATCGTCTTATAACTATATCTTGCCCTTGTGAGACCCCACTTGGATTACGCAGTTCAATTCTGGTCACAGTACTACCGAATAAATATAGAATCTCTAGAAGGAATTCAGAGGAGAATGACAAGACTAATCCCGGGCATTAGGAACCTTGAGTAACAGAGACAGGTTAAAGCATCTCAATTTGCACTACCTTGAGAGACGTAGAGTGAGGGGCGATATGATCGAGGTGTATAAATGGAAATCAGGGCTAAACAAAGGAGACATTACAAAGGTATTCAAACTATCAAACCAGGAGCAAACTCATAACAATGGTTTAAATTAAACAAATTTAGATTTAGGCGCGAGATAGGTAAACATTGGTTTGGAAATAGAGTAGTGGATGAGAGGAACAAGTTACCAAACATCATCATTAACTCGAATACGCTGGATAGCTTCAAACATACAGTAGGTTGGTTGGATAAATGAGCAATAGGGGTTGGGTGTAAATGGGACTGCCCAGTATGGGCCAATAGGCCCGCTGCAGTTTCCTCCATTCTTATGTTTAGATAAGGTTACGTTAGGTTACGTTAGGTACTTTAGGTTATGTTAGACGACTCATTTTTGTGTTCTCCCCCACCCAAAAACCCTGACTTCTCAGGTTCTCCCGCATTATTGTTGGGGGTCAAGGTGGGGCAAAAACGAGCAATTTCCGACAAAATTGAAGGTCAGATTCGCTTAAAACACAGCAAAATACACTGGAAAAACATATTGGTCAATCCCTTGGGACTCATGTCCAAAAGCAAAAATTTACCCTAACTTTCTTACCTTAAACTAGGTATTATTGTGTTTACACACCGTTCATTCCTATCACTAATCTATTATCATTATTATAAGATAATTTTCATCTACCCGTATTACATTACCGGCGGAAATGTATAATAACCGAGATATCTTTTCCCCAAAAAATTATATTTTCTTCCATTAACCTCCCGCCATTATCGTCTGCCTCTCACCCAACTCTGCGTGTCTCTCGCGTCTCCTTCATAAATCATGACGCACATGCGTACCCATACACGTCACGCGGCCTTTCAAAAGCGTTTATGCTTTTAGAACCAATTATAATGGTTTGGGGTTTAATTCAGAGTATATTTGGCCCAATCAAAATCGATTTTTATTTTGGGTCTCATATTTTGCAATTCAAGTTCAGTTCCGACCACAGAAGTCTGCAATGGATGTCACTTAAAGTATATGGAGCTGAATGCGAGTTTTTGGAAAAAAAAACGTAGAAACTATAGCATTTTTTCGATCGCATGGTGTTCTTACAACCTTAGTAAAGTGTACTAAGAGCAAGACAATGTAAATATCGCAAAGACCAACATATGTGGTGTTGGGCAAGAATCCCAGAATGCAACGACGAACAAGAACCAGGTCAATAAGGTAAGACATAGGTGATTCCATCATATGGTGAGAGTCAGTTAAGTTAGGTTAGGTTAGGTTTTTGTTTTTCTAGTGCTTTTTTTTGTATTTTTTAGTCTCGGCCACTTTTTTTCGGAAAACGTCAAACGAAAAAAAATCGCTAAACAAAACGGCTAATTTCCGCCAAAAATGAAGGTGATATTCGGTCTAAACACACACACACACATACACTTGAAAAATATATTGTTTACTTGCTTAAAGTGAACGGTGTGACAATGCAAATTAACCTTAAACTAAACTAAACTAGCAACCTCAACACCTGCAGTGGGCGAACTTACTGTTACTGAGACGGCTGAATGCGGCTGTGAAGTCCTCCATGTCAGCCCCTAAACCCTTAGGGTACGATATTCTTCACTTCCTACTAACTTATATTTACTATTATGGCACAATATTTTTTTTTTACAAAACAGTTAATGACAACTCAATTTCAAGTTAATAATCATTGCACTTACATTGATTCTTGTAGCACGCCATAATAAAAATATAAGAAGAAGATTCCTCCAGAGTAAATCACAAATTTGGCCTTCTGGAATATAACTAGACCGCCTTCCGTCATGGTTCCTGACTGCTCGAGACTCGACTGTTTCTTCTTACCCGCTTGTGCCCTCCAACAACCTATCTTATAGACGCCTGAACCCACCCGATATAAACAAAACTTATAGATGTTACAACACTCTTAACTCTTCGGTGAACCGCTCAAGATTCGGTTCTTATACTCTACCTGTATATAAACGTGCTGATCTCTGATTTGTTAATCCTATGTAGATTTGACATGCGTTGGAAGTAAATTCACAAATAATCAAAATGAAAATTATAAATATACTTTCTGGGAACAGATAAAAAATTAGAACACTGAGAGCGATATAAAATAATTACCGTTAATATTTAAGTACTTTTAAGTAGTTGAAGCAAATATCGTTCAGCGACTACAGGTTGCTAATCTGACTTTCTGCCTCATTTACACACAATTGCAGTGTCTCAATTGTTTCTCTTACTATTGACAACACATCATACATATATTGTTTCTCAATTTTGATTTTTTTTTTCATTTTGTATTTCTTTGTGGTTCTTTATTATTGTTATTATTATAATTATTATTATTGTTATTATTATTATTATTATTATTATTTCGTCCCCCAGACCCCGATGTGGGTCAGTGACCTGTGTCTGGGTGGGCTAATTCCCGTAAAAAAAAAAAAAGTCGGCTTAAGACGAGGACGTGTTTGGACAAGAAATCTTCAGTGATGTGATACATTTGCATTTTGTAATCATAATTATACCATCCCAAATACTAGAAGAGTTATTCTACCATTGCGAAATCAGTGGTGCAAGAAAGGGTAAATGCTTTAGGGGAGGTGGGGGAATGGGGACTCACAGTCTATAAGGGAGCCCAAAAAGCTCCAGATAAAACGAAATTGTATTCAAAATCAATATATATATATATATATATATATATATATATATATATATATATATATATATATATATATATATAAAGAGAGAGAGAAAGACGTGACCAAGGCTAAAAGTAAAAAAGTAAAAGTAGATATA